GAGGCCCTGCAGAAGGGTTAACCCCCCACAGGTGCCCACGGAGGTGATGCCAAAGTGGGAATCTCACGCTGGACCAGGAGATGGGTGTCCCTCTTTGTAAGTTTAGGGGGTCTCTGGGAGTGCAGGATGGGTGTTCTCCACCTCTCTTTGGCCCTATTTCAGAGGAGCAGGATTGGGCCTTAGTGATGCTGATTGCTCATTTGTGCAAGGGTCGTTAAGGGCTTGATGAGGGCAAGGGATGGTGTGGCCAAGGCAAGAGCCAGGATCCTTGTCCTGTATTCTGTGTAGCCTTCAAATCTTTGCAAGCTAAAAGATTATTTACTGAGGCAATTTGGACACAACAGAGTCATTAAAATAGAGGCTGGGGTTTAGAGCTTGGTCTGGAATGAGAATGTAATAAGATTTTTGCTGAGATTTTGTTAGTTCTGATCTCAAAGGAAATAGTCTTCATTTTTCCTAGGAGATTTTTTTAGCCCGAACTCCAAGCAATTTAATATCTGAATGCTCAAAAAATAGTCTTCCAAGCTCCAGTGATTTTTTTTCCCCCTCCTTTCAGTTTTCTGTTGCAAAAGAAAACCCAAAAATTCCTGCTCTGGCTGCCCCAAGCTGTTGCTTCCAGTCCTGTTTTCCAGCATCCCCCTGGAACAGCAGGAGCTCTTGTGTACTCAGGAGCCTTTGGGAGAGGCTGGTGCACCCCACATCCCCACATTGCCATGTTGGGGTCCAGCTTTCCTATTTAAATTCATTAAATTGGTGCAAAACTTGTGTATAAGCAAGATGCAGTGGCAGCACGCTGGATGCTGTGCATGGTAGGTGGCCCACATAAAAATATCACCTATATAAAAACATCATCCATATAAAAACATCACCCATATAAAAATATCACCCATATAATAATAATAATAATAATGCCCATATAAAAAGAATGCCCATATAAAAATAATACCCATATAAAAATAACACCCATCTGGCTCTCAGGTGTTGGGTGTATTTAATACCATCACCTCCCTGGGCCTCCCAGCTGGATTTTAGCTGCTGCCACGTCTCCCCTGCACTGCTTTGGCCCAGCATCTCCTGCTCCAAGCACATCCTCACCCCCTCTGCCATCACCCCATGGGTACCAGCACCAAAACCACTTGGCAGAGGGCTGGCACCCCCTTGATTCCATGGATCCCATGGACGATCCCAGTGCATATCAGTACAACAAAGCCCTTGTTATTAATCCTCTTTTTCTTTTCCCTTTCCTTCCCTTTGCAGCTTTAAACGAGGCTGCGAGAAAAGCACAGCCCAACTTGGAACAGAAAGTTCCTGTAAATAACAGCTACACCTCGGGGTGTTTCCTCTCCCAGTAGCTGTGAAGAAAAAGGCAGCTATGTCTTGGGTTTGCCTTGGAACACATTTCCGCTGGCCAGGGCTGTGGAGCCAGGGCCGAGCATTTATTGTGGTTTGGTTTGGGCTTTTCCTAATTTTTTTTCCCCCCTCTTTTTTTTTTTTTTTCTTTTCCCCCTCTTTCCATGCAAACCCTGCTGAGGGCTTTGCCTACAGAGATGCTGCAAAGAGGAGGCAGAGCACTGGCTCCAGCACGTCCTCCCTGCTCTGGGGCACGGCGCTGGCATGGCCCCGGCGTTCCTTCCCCGGGATCATGAATAACTCCGGCGCTGAGTGCCTCGGCTCCTCGGGAGCCCCAGCCTGCAGCGCCTTGGCATGGGATGCTATTGTAGGCTGGGATTCTTTCATTTCTGCCTTTTCAGTCATTTGGGTTCTGGAGGCGAGTGGTGAGTGCTAAAGGGTTTGGGCTTGGACCGCCTGGGAGTTTGGGTCCCGCTGAAGATTTGTGCTGGAGCTTTTGTGGCTCGGGAAGCGGCGCAGCGATGACAGGCGGAGGGCAGGGAGCGGGATGCTTGGCTGGGATGCAGGGATCACCTTGCCAGGTCTACCCCAGCGCAGGGTTAGTGGTCCAGACCCACCCTGGAGAAGCACAAAGGGGTTTTCTCAGAGCTTGGGTCCCCCCAGCCCATCACATCCCTGCCCGCCCTCCTCCCTGGGCACCCTTGTGATGCCTCCTTGGGCCAAACTGTGATTGAGACCAGCCATGAACCCCCCTCAAACACCACATCTGGGCACCGTGGTGCTCAAAGAGGTGCCAAAATTAGACCCTGGACAAAAAGCAGCGTGAGGAACCTTCCTCTGCGGCGGGGCACAGACCTGCTCCCCGCAGCGAGAAGTGAGCAGGCGGGAGGCACCGGGCAGACTTGTAACCATACGTTTATTATTCCACATGGAAAGTCATTAACATGATTACACGGAGGCCTGGCTCTATAATCACGTACATTGGATAAGAACATCGACACCGTTACCAGAGAAGCAGAACTGACCACTGTGCCATGGCTTCGACCCCACGCCATCCCCACCCGCTCCCGACAGAGCCCGACTGTTCTCAGGGAAGTCACAGCTTCTTCCAACGACTTCAACAGGAGCAGACCCTCCTCTTCCTCTCCCTCCCCGCCCCCCCCTCCCCAGTGACAAGTGCTACAGGTTAAAAAGTTTGGGCTACATATTAAATATAGGGCATTACCTTCAAGTAGGGCTGGTATATTACACAAATAACCACATTTTTTGGTATCGCTAGCATTTTTTTTTTTAATGTCCACTGTAAGACATCATTAAAAAAAACCCAAAAACTTCAGCCTTTTTTATCTACAAAGATCTTTGTTCTCATCTCCTTAGTCTGGTGTTATTTTACCCTGCACGTACAAGTATTAGAAGCATTATTAAGAATCGTATCCTTCAACACACTTAAGAATTATATTATTATAACAAATAAGACCAAAAATTAGATTTTATAGTTAAATATTCTGTGAGCCAGACAAAGGGGTTTTACTGTACAAGCGATTGTGCATTTTTTAAAAAAGCAAATTATAGTGCAAAGCAAAAAACATTGGCCTGTCTCGTGACCATTTGCATACAACAGAGGTGCATCTATTTACACCTTCACATGACAATATGTCATAAAAACAACATCGTTGCCATTCCTATTATTTTCTCTTTTAGAATTCATTACGAACAGTCTTAAATTAACCTAGTACTACGAATGCCTTGTTTCCTTTGTGCTTTCAATCAGTGGATGACAAATGTAAAATGCATCAAACACAGGCTGCC